GCAGAGTTCTTTGAATGAGATGGGTGGTGACTCAATTTGATAAATAAATAATTTTTTTTTGCAGAGTTCTTTGAATGAGATGGGTGGTGACTCAATTTGATAAATAAATAAATAAATGTTTTTTGCGGAGTTGCTCTTTGAATGAGATGGGTGGTGACTCAATTTGAAAAATAAATAAATAAATATTTTTTGCTCTTTTTTCCCCCTTATCGTACCATTGTAGCTCCAGTGCTACAATAAACAAATATAGGGAGGAGGTGATTCTTTGTTCCTCCTTCTGCAGGCCCATGGCAAATGTGAGACAAGGGAGCACTGATCCTTCAGCTTCATGAAAAAGCAGCAATGTCCCTAAGTTTTAACTTAATTTTTAACTTTTGATTATTTTAATGTTTAACTTGAGGGCTGCCTGAATCAATTTATTAACAAGCTATTAGAGGCTTTTGTAAGCCATGAATTAGCTTCAGCTAGGGTTATTCCATGGTCATCCCTTTGTGTTTTTGCTTGTTCAGAATCAGCACTTCCTTAACTTGCTAGCAGGGCTAGAAACACTGACCACAAAGGCTTCCTAGACTGACCACCAACGCTCCATGCGTGGACTAGCTGGTGGGTTCACACATGCCTGGACTGACTGGCTCTGAGCCCTTGCTAGGGAAGTTTTGTAAGGGAGCCCGGGACTGGAATAAAGAGAGGAGACGTGGCCGGACAAGGGTCTGGAGGTGAACCAAAGTTTGTCATTAGCACGCTAAAAAGCACACCCAGAGGTGGAAATCTCATATGCTAATATCCCCCCACTGGACTATTATGGGATAGAATGCTTTTGTGTCCATGTCTAAGGTGTGTACCAATCAGCTGATTCCTTCCTTGCCTAAACTGTATAAAAGATGGTTTGGGCTTCAAGAAGGTGCACTCGATTTGGACTTGGGTCCCGAGCGTACCTTTTGTTTCTCTGCAGAAATAAGGTGCCGGAATCCACTTTCCTCGACTCTGCGTGATTTATTGGCTCATCGTGCCAGGTGTAAACGAAGCCAGGGTTGGGCTGGGCGAGCAAACTTTAAAATGTTAAAACAATAAATAAAAAGGGACGGGAAGTTTCTGGGAAAGTAAGAAACAATGCCATATTTCCATAGGAAACAGAAAGTTATGTCGAGAAATGGAAAGCAAAACTTAAGCTTTACAAGGGTGATTTCCGAGAAATCATGTGAGAAAGAAGAAATGGTATGTTTTTCTCTCTTTTCCCCCCTCTGGACACCAGAAGGCACTGCTGCACAATTGCAGGTGGACTTTTTGGTTTGAGTGCTTGTAAATGTAGGACCCCGGCTTTGCTGCAACACTGAGGGCTGAAATCCCAAAGATTTCCAGAACAAAATATCTTCCAGCTCTTACAGAATTAATTCTAACTCTGCCAAACCTTTACTCATAGAAGGAGCGCTAAGGGGCATTTCCCCCTCCAGAGCCCCAAATCCCCCAAACACTTCTAGTTATGAACAGACAATACTGTACAGGTTGTCCTCATTTAGCATCCACAATTGGACTGGCAATTGGGTTGTTAAGCAAAGCGGTTGCTAGGTGAAACTGCGACTGCGCTTGTGATCTGACTTCAGCTTTCCTTTGATTTACAGACCTACAAAGGTTGTAAATGCGAGGATTGGTCGTAAAGTTACTTTTTCATCACTGTTGTACCTGTGAACATTCACTAAATGAGGCAGTCACTAAATGAGGACTATCAGTAAACTTCTATTTTCTTGCTTTCAGCACCAAGGACAGAATAGTTCTATCTTCTGATTATACAACAGTAGCTGTTGGGAATGACTGCATTTTCCCCAGCCTGACAGCATTACTTGGAGAATGCTCTTGGGGGTGTGATGGACATAAAAAATAGGTGAGGCTCCCAACACACCATCATGGCTGCCATCTTGACTCTTTTGGCCACAACTTGCAGACATTCTGGCTTCTCTATTTCTCTCCTTCATCCAAAGCCAGGCAGGTACTTCTTCAGTGCTCCACGGCAAGTAAAGCCTCAAATATAGTCACCCAATTCTTGGTGTCTTGCACAAGTCTCAAGGTGCGCTTTCCTCTCCCCTCCGTGTGGCTCTTCTTGATTCCTCTTGTACATCCACCTCACTGGCCTTGATCCAAGTCTGGATTAATTCTTCCCATCATGATCTGCCTTCCCGGTCATCCTGTCTTACTCGCTTGGCCTCTATCCTCTCCACACTAGCTTGATTCCCTTCACAGGTAGCACTTCCCTTTCTCCCTCTCTTTCCTATAACCTTTTTATGTCCCACTGCAAATCTCCACCTCCTTTTGATTGCTTAGGTTGTTGTTGTTTTTTCTTTCTCTTTTCCTTTTTCTTTGTACAGTGGTACCTTGGGATACGAACTTAATCTGTTCCATGACTCTGGGCGTATCCCGAGTTGGTCGTAACCCGAAGGAAATTTC